GAATCTCTGTGCATCGGGCCTCCAGTGTGCTGAGCAGCTCGCTCACGCACCCCCTCAGACGCACATTTCCTACCCGGACGTGATGCGTGCACGCTCTTCCTGACTCTGCTCGTTCTCTCTCACCTTTCACTCCCTCCCGACCCTCCCGCCCTGCATCCTTCCTCCCCGCTGTGCTTCCGTCGCCGTCTCACGTCCTCTCTGCCGTGGCTCTCGCCCCAGGACATCAGAGCCAGCGTGGAGCAGATCAGCCGGTTCCTGGGCACCGAGCTGAACCCGGAGGAGGTGGACTCTGTCCTCCAGCACGTCACCTTCCAGGCCATGAAGGAGAATAAGATGAGCAACTTCTCTCTGCTCCCCGACTTCCTCATGGACCACAGCAAAGGGTGTCTTATGAGAAAAGGTGAGAGGAGAGCCTCTAATCTTTTAAAAAATATATATTTTATTGATTTTTTTTTTTTTTTACTGAGAGAGAAGGGAGAGGGAGAGAGAGAGCTAGAAACACCGACGAGAGAGAAACATGGACCAGCTGCCTCCTGCACACCACCCACTGGGGATGTGCCCGCAACCAAGGTCCGTGCCCCTGACGGGAATCGAACCTGGGGCCTTCCAGTCCGCAGGCCGAGGCTCTATCCGCTGAGCCACACCGGTTAGGGCGAGGGCCTCCAATCTGTACCGTGTGGGTGTGATGGGCAGGGACCTCCCCAGCTTCTGTGGATGCCCTCGGACCCGGGATGGTGGAACTCTCGGGAGTCGATGGAAATCGCCTAAGTGGTGCTTGACTCTGAGAGTTTAAGGGACGGTTTGGAGTATGTTCTTTTTTTTTTTTTTTTTTTTAATATATTTTATTGATTTTTCACAAAGAGGAAGAGAGAGGGATAGAGAGTTAGAAACATCGATGAGAGAGAGAATCATCGATCAGCTGCCTCTTGCACACCCCCTTACTGGGGATGTGCCCGCAACCAAGGCACACGCCCTTGAAACCGGAATCGAACCTGGGACCTTTCAGTCCGCAGGCCGACGCTCTATCTACTGAGCCAAACTGGCCGAGGGCTGGAGTATGTTCTAAGGTTGGAAAGAGATCTCAGAAAGCGGGAACGTTGCTGATGAACGAGACACGAGGAAGGGGGTGTGGACGGCATGGACCTGGGGAGGTCTCACTCCTGTGCTCTGTGTCCGGCAGGCATCGCCGGGGACTGGAGGAACCACTTCACGGTGGCCCAGACGGAAGCCTTCGACAGGGTTTACCGAGAGAAGATGGCGGGGCTGCCCCGGGGCCTCTTTCCGTGGGATTAGCGGCCCCCCGAGTCCCATCGGGGGCCGAGGCTGAAGCTCCCTGAGTTTCCTGAGGATCCTGGGTACCCAACAAAGCAAACTCAAATGATGAGCGATACCTGGGACATAGGTGGGTCCAGATAGAACCCCAAGACGTGTGATTTCCAGAACCCCATGATCGGCAGGTGCTCACCCCCTTTCCCTTAACCCAACCGGGCCTGCAAGCCACTCCACGCGGAACGGACACAAACCGAGTTCCTTTTCTGGAGCCGGGCCAGCTTCCAAAAGTGCTGTCGTATTTCAAACGTGCAGGAGAATAAACAAGCCGTGTTTTCAAAAACGAATGGCGGTTCTATCCACGTTAAAAAAAATATATATAATAATAATAAAATGTGCCGAAACCGGTGTGGCTCAGTGGATAGAGCGTCGGCTTGGGGACTGAAGAGTCCCGGGTTCGATTCCGGTCAAGGGCATGGACCTTGGTCGCGGGCACATCCCCGGTAGGGGGTGTGCAGGAGGCAGCTGATGGATGACTCTCATCGATGTTTCTAACTCGCTATCTCTCTCCCTTCCTCTCTGCACAAAATCAATAAAAATATATTTTTAAAATAATAATAATAATAATAAAATGTAAAGCACACCCTCCTCCCGTGATCAAATGCCCGGGCCCTGCCCACACTCCGCCCCCCTTCAGTGCCCTTCACTGCCCAGCCACCAAGATTTTGGAAGCTTGGAAGCTACGTACGCAACGAAGGAGAGAAAGAAAGGAGCCACATGCTGACCTGGCAGGCTCAGGGAGGCCTGCGCCACAGTCTTGCAAACTCAGAGACCTAAGATCACCACAAACAAAAGATGGTTTGAAAATTAAGTATCTAACTACAAACAGGTTATAGTGGGTAGTCATGTCCGAGGCCGATATTTCACCTGACAAGGATCAACTTAGATCTTCTTTCCTGAGCCCATTGGCCTTGTGGCCTCTAAGATAACAGATCTGTGAGATGTCTGAGTAACTTGTAACGTCCTTTTTACCCCGGACCCCTCAGGGCACAACAAATGGCCCTGAGACCTTCCCTCATTGTTATTGTTATCAAGTTCATTGTCCGCTGTGAATTGCGTTAGAGTATCCTGTATCCATCTCTGTCATTTCACCTTTCACCCTGTCCCAGAGGTTTCCCCCGCTTTGCTCTGTCCCACCTCCCTAATCCATCGCCAATGAATTTCCGGTAACCCACCTACGTCCATTCCCTTTGACTGCAATGTATAAATACAGAAATGTAACCCTGTATTCTCCGGAGGATCATCTCAATCCGTTGAGGGTCTGCTTCCCGGCGTATGTCGACAGTTTGGCTCCAATAAACGCACAAAAATTCTTTACAGGTTCCAACGATTTTTTTCCCCGTTAACGAAGGGAATCCGTTGAGAAGGGTCTGTCAAGCCACAGCTGACGGAGAGCCGCAGAGCGTCTCGCCCTAGAAGGCAGAGTCGGTGAACGCTGTGCTTGCCTCCTCCAAGGGTCACATCAAAATTACAAGCCAGCTCAGCTGGAGGGGCTCAGGGGCCGAGCGCCGACCTGTGAGCCTGGAGGTCACGGCTCCATTCTCCTTCAGGAGTCAGGCCCGGGGCGTGGGGGAGGCAGCCGATCCATAATTCTCTTCATCACTGATGTCCCTCTCCCTCTCCCTTCCTCTGTTAGATCAATAAAAATACATTTTTTTAAATTGATTTTTTACAGAGAGGAGGAGAGAGGGATAGAGAGCTAGAAATGTCGATGAGAGAGAAACATCCATCAGCTGCCTCCTGCACGCCCACCCCACTGGGGATGTGCCCGCAACCCAGGCATGTGCCCTTGACCGGGATCGAACCCGGGTCCCTTCGGTCTGCAGGTGTCACGCTCTGTCCACCGAGCCACACCGGTTTCAGCTCTATTCTCTTTCTCGGACGACCTGTGTGGGCTCTGCTGCCGTGGAACTCCCCGCTGGCTCCCGAAGGCGGCCTGCGTTAATGATTACCCGGCGGGCGTGACCTTCGGCGGGTCTGCCCTGACCCAGGAGGCGTGCCCCTGTGTGGACGCCCTGGCTGGGGCTGAAGGCAGGTGGCCTCTCTGTCGCTGAGACTCGCCGGGACACACACACACACACACACAGACAGACCCAGCCCGGAGGCCGCGGTGCGATGGCCACGGATTACCTGTGGATTGAGGGGATCCCTTTCCACTGGACCACCATCCGGGACCTGAGGTCCCTGCGGGACGGGTTCCTGGTGAGGGACCAGGATGTCATCACGCTGTCCTACCCAAAGTCAGGTAAAGGGAGCGGGGGCCGGGCCCGGCCGGTGCGGCTCCGTGGACAGCGCGGCGGCCTGCGGGCCGAGGGGTCCCGGGTTCGATTCCGGTCAAGGGGCATGGACCTTGGTTGTGGGCACATCCTCAGTGGGGGGCATGCAGGAGGCAGCTGATCAAGGTTTCTCTCTCATCGATGTTTCTGACTCTCTATCCCTCTCCCTTCTTCTCTGTAAAAAATCAATAAAATATATTAGAAAGAAAGAAAGAAAGGAAGGAAGGAAGGAAGGAAGGAAGGAAGGAAGGAAGGAAGGAAGGAAGGAAGGAAGGAAGGAAGGAAGGAAGGGAAAGAAAGAAAGAAAGAAAGAAAGAAAGAAAGAAAGAAAGAAAGAAAGAAAGAAAGAAAGAAAGAAAGAAAGAAAGAAAGAAAGAAATTGAGGAAGTAGGGAGCTAGATTACCCGTTAAGGATCATCATTTGCTCTCTGGGGTGGGAGGATTCTATTTTTAAAAAAATGTAAATATATTGCCGAAACTGGTTTGGCTCAGTGGATAGAGCGTCGGCCTGAGGACTCAAGAGTCCCAGGTTCGATTCCGGTCAAGGGCATGTGCCCTTGGTTGCAGGCACATCCCCAGTAGGGGGTGTGCAGGAGGCAGCTGATGGATGTTTCTCTCTCATCGATGTTTCTAACTCTCTACCCCTCTCCCTTCCTTTCTGTAAAAAATCAATAAAATGTATTTTTTAAAAATTGAGAAAGTGGGGAACTGGATTACCAGTTAAGGACCATCATTCGCTCTCTGGGGTGAGAGGATTCTATTTAAAAAAAAATATATATATTTTATTGATTTTTTACAGAGAGGAAGGGAGAGGGGGAGTCAGAAACATCAATGAGCTGAAACCGGTTTGGCTCAGTGGATAGAGCATCGGCCTGCAGACTGAAGGGTCCTGGGTTTGATTCAGATCAAGGGCATGGACCTTGGTTGCAGGCACATCCCCAGTAGGGGATGTGCAGGAGGCAGCTGATGGATGTTTCTCTCTCATCGATGTTTCTAACTCTCTATTCCTCTCCCTTCCTTTCTGTAAAAAAATCAATAAAATATATTTTTAAAAAACACACAACAATAAACATCACAGAGACTAAGGACTGGGAGTCTCAGGAGGCGAGAATGAATGTGTTTCAATGGAAAATGAACATGGAACCTGGAATTCATGCTAAGAAATTAGGAACTTGTCCAAAGGCAATGGAATTCTATGAAAAAAACAAACAAAAAACCCACACAAAACAAAACAGATTTCAACAGCAGAGACACGAGAGCAGGCGAGCAAAGATCAGTGGGTGTTGCCAATGGTGAAATGGCAGGAGCAAAGGACCAGCAGGGAGTGGCTGGTATGTCAGATTAAGTTTGACAGGAATGTGTGGGTAGGTGACTCAATGGAGAACTGCATGGAGGACTAGGATGGTGACCAGAGAGATGAGGAAACAAGCGATATATATATATATATATATATGATTTTTAAATTAAATTAAATTAAATTAAATTTATTTATATATTTTTAATATATATTTTATTGATTTTTGTACAGATAGAAAGGGAGAGGGATAGAGAGCTAGAAACATGGATGAGAGAGAAACATCCATCAGCTGCCTCCTGCACACCCCCCATTGGGGACGTGCTCGCAACCAAGGCACATGCCCTTGACCGGAATCAAACCTGGGACCATTCAGTCTGCAGGCTGACGCTCTATCCACTGAGCCACACTGGTTTCGGCCCAAGCAGTATGAAGCGGTGGGATCAGAGGGGATGTAGCCATTGTTGGAATCGGGTGGCGTTTCTGAGCCACGGCCCCACGGATACTTTGGCCGGGCTCTCTGTTTTGGCTGAGGGACGTAGAGCGGTGACCTCGTGGTTCACAGGCTGACGTCCAGCCACTAAGCCACACCCTGGCCATGGCCAGGGCTGTCCGATCGATGGTCCGTGTTCTCAGGACACGGCTTACGTGTGACCCGGTAAAGGGAGACAGGTCAAAGGCTTGCTCCAGGGCACAGTGTCCCGTTTCAGACGGTCTGAAGTGTTGACTAAGGAATCCTATCTAATAAGAGAGTAATATGCAGCTGAAACCGGTGTCGCTCAGTGGATAGACTGTTGGCCTGCGGACTGAAGGGTCCCAGGTTCGATTCCGGTCAAGGGCATGGACCTTGGTTGCGGGCACATCCCCAGTGGGGGTTGTGCAGGGGGCAGCTGATGGATGTTTCTCTCTCATCCATGTTTCTAGCTCTCTCTCCCTCTCCCTTTCTCTCTGTAAAAAAATCTATAAAATATGTTAAAAAAAAAAAAAAAAAAAGAGTGCAGATTGGAGCCCTGCCAGTGTGGCTCCGTGGTTGAGCGTCCACCTATATGAACCAGGGGGTCCCAGTTCGATTCTCTGCCACAGCACAGGCCCAGGCTGTGGGCTTGATCCCCAGTAGGGAGCGTGCAAGAGGCAGCTGATCAATAACACTCTCTCGTCATGGATGTGTCTCTCTCTCACTGTCCTTTCCTCTCTGAAATCAATAAAAACATATTAAAAAAAAAAAGAAAAGAAAAGAAGAAGGATCAATGGAATGTGACTAAAAGGAAAATACGATGAGAAATAAACAATCAGTTGAATGTATGGACATGGGCACTGGTGCACCATCAGGGCCGGGGAAGGATGTGGGAGATTGAACCAGCCGGGGAGGGACCGCGGGAGGGCTCCAGGGCGTGTCCGGCCCGTCTCCCTCAGTCCGGATCGTCCGGACCCCACCAGCAAGCTAACCTACCGGTCGGAGCGTCTGCCTCCTGGTGATCAGTGCATGTCATAGCGAGCGGTGGAGCGGCCTTAGCATATTACGCTTTGGTTTGGCTGAACGGCCCACGGGACACTTGGAACATTAGGCTTTTATAATATGGCATGGGTGGGTCCCGAGCATTCAGTAGATTCCCAGACCTCGGGCGCATAACTTGCAGGAGCTCAGATAACTGTCTTTCCGACGGCACACGGTGGAGTCGAGAGTCCTTCGAGGGAGGTAACCCTCTCTTCCTCCTTCTCCAGGAACCAACTGGATCAAGGAGATCACCAATCTGATCCACACGCGGGGCGACCCCAGCTGGGTGCAGTCCGTGGTCAGCTGGGAGCGCTCGCCGTGGATCGAGACGCCCGAGGGGCTCGAACTTATCGAGAAGCAGGGAGACCCGCGGTCCTACACCTCCCACCTCCCCGTGCACCTCTTCCCCACGTCGCTGTTCACGTCCAAGGCCAAGGTGAGCGCCTGGCCGAACGCCATTCTCATACCAAGGCCCGGTGCACGGATTCGTGCACCGGTGGGGTCCCTCGGCCTGGCCTGCAGGGACCGGGCTGGAACCGGCTCCCCGACATCCCCCAAGGAGTCTCGGATGGCGAGAGGGTGCAGGCCAGGCTGAGGGGCCCCCACTGGTGCACGATCGGGGCCGGGGAGGGGCTGCGGGAGGGCTCCAGGGCGTGTCTGGCCCGTCTCGCCCGGTCCCAATCCATCAGCCGGACTTCAGCAGCAAGCTGGCGAACCTACCGGTTGGAATGTCTGCCCCCTGGTGGTCGGTGCGTGTAGCAACTGGTTGACCAGTCGACTGTCTGTCCCCCACCCTGGTGGTCAGTGAACGTCACGGCGAGTGGTTGAGCGGCCTTAGCATATCATTAGCATATTGCACTTTGATTGGTTGAAATGCTGACCAGACAGCTGGACTCTCAGCATATTAGGCTTTTATTCTATAGAATGGGTAGATCCTGAACATTCAATAAATCCCCAGACCTCTGGTGTATAATTGCAGAAGCTCTAAAGGGGGGGAGGGTTAGGGCAGTTAGGGGTGACCAGGCCAGCAGAGGAGGGAAGTTGGGGGCAAACAGGCTGGCAGGGGAGCAGTTAGACATCAATCAGGCTGGCAGGGGAGTGGTTAGGGGGCCTTCCAACTGCCCTCCCCTGCTGGCCATCTTGTGGTGGCCATCTTGTGTCCATATGGGGGCAGGATCTTTGACCACATGGGGGCAGCCATCTTGTGTGTTGGAGTGACGGTCAATCTGCATATTACTCTTTTATTAGATAGGATAGAGGCCTGGTGCATGGGTGGGGGCCGGCTGGTTTGCCCTAAAGGGTGTCCCGGATCAGGGTGGGGGTTCCCTTGGGGTGTGGGGCGGCCTGGGTGAGGGGCCTGTGGTGGTTTAGAGGTTGGCCAAGCTCCCCAGCAACCCAAGTGGAGGCCCTGGTATCTGGGATTTATTTACCTTCTACAATTAAAACTTTGTAGCCTGGAGCAGAGCCAAGCCTCCTGCTTGCTCCATGGCTGCAGCCATTTCTGTTTGGATTTGTTTACCTTCTATAATGGAAAACTTGTAGCTTTGCGTGGAGGCCTAGGCTGGTCAGGGTGTGTGGAAAGCTTGGCTTCCTCTATTGCTGGGGAAACTCAAGCCTCTCAACTGCTCTCTGTGGCTGCAGCCATCTTGGTTGGGGTTAATTTGCATACTCCCTCTGATTGCGTGGTGGGTGTGGCTTGTGGGTATAGTGGAGTGATGGTTAATTTGCATGTTACTCTTTTATTAGGTAAGATTTAAAAAAAAACAATTTTTTTTTTATATTTTATTGATTTTTTACAGAGAGGAAGAGAGAGGGATAGTTAGAAACATCGATGAGAGAGAATCATCAATCAACTGCCTCCTGAACACCCCCTACTGGGGATGTGCCCGCAACCAAGGTACATAACCTTGACCGGAATCGAACCCAGGACCTTCCAGTCTGCAGGCCGACGCTCTATCCACTGAGCCACACCGGTTTCGGCGGGACACTTATTCTTGTTTTGTTTTTTTGTTTTGATCTAAGGTTATTTACATCATGAGAAACCCCAGGGATGTGATCGTTTCCGGGTACCATTTCCACAAGACGCTGAAAATCACCAAAAATCCAAGCTCGTTTGAAGAGTATTTTGAGTGGTTCCTTCGAGGAAACGGTGAGTCGAACTCAGAACGAGGTCTTACTGTCCGTGGTTCATACAACCACCTGGTGATGGGGCATCCGTGTCACGAGGCCTGTACCCCGGGCTCTCCGCCAACATGCTCTGCTCCACAGCGTGCTCCTAAGAGCCATCCACCTTTATTTTTTATTTTTTAATTTAAAAAATATATATTTTATTGATTTTTTACAGAGAGGAAGGGAGAGGGAGAGAGAGCTAGAAACATTGATGAGAGAGAAACATCCATCAGCTGCCTCCTGCACACTCCCTACTGGGGATGTGCCTGCAACCAAGGTCAATGCCCTTGACCAGAATCGAACCCAGGACCTTCCAGTCCACAGGTCGAAGCTCTATCCACTGAGCCAAACCGGTCAGTTAGGGGGCGATCAGACTGTCAGGGGAGGGCAGTTAGGGGGCGACCAGACTGTCAGGGGAGGGCAGTTAGGGGATGATCTGACTGTCAGGGGAGGGCAGTTAGGGGGCGACCAGACTGTCAGGGGAGGGCAGTTAGGGGGCAATCAGACTGTCAGGGGAGGGTAGTTAGGGGATGATCTGACTGTCAGGGGAGGGCAGTTAGGGGGCAATCAGACTGTCAGGGAGGGCAGTTAGGGGGGGCGATCAGACCAACAGGGAAGGGCAGTTAGGGGGTGATCAGACCAGCAGGGAAGGGCAGTTAGGGGCAATGAGGCAGGCAGGCGAGTGGTTAGGATCCAGCAGTCCCAGATTGCAAGAGGGATGTCTGACTGCTGGTTTAGGCCCAAGACCGACAGCTAGAGATCCCCCAAGGGGTCCCAGATTGCTAGAAGGTGCAGGCCGGGCTGAGGGACCCCCATCCCCCCATGCACGGATTTCATGCACCAGGCCTCTAGTAAAAAATAATAATAATAAAAAAGAGTAAAAAGGGAAAGCAAAGAAACATTGAGGGCAACATTGTTCAATAAAAACAGGCTAGAGAGAAAGAAAATCCCTGAGGGGTGGCTAACAGGAGCAGAACTGCCCGGGAATGAAACGCAGAATCGTCAGGCAGTCACCCTCCCTCCTCGCTTCCCTTGCAGTGCCCTTCGGCTCCTGGTTCGACCACGTGGGCGGCTGGCTGCAGATGAGGGGAAAAGAGAACTTCCTGTTTATATCCTACGAGGAGCTGCATCAGGTAACTCTGTCCCCCAAAATTCACTCTCCCCAACTCCGTTCACCGCTGTCTGCCTTCCTCCGTTCTTCAGTGTCTCCATCCGACACGTCCAATCAGAGCTGGCCCCAGAGATGTGACTGATGAGGGTCAGTGCCTTCTCTTTTCTTTCTTTCTTTAAAAAAATATATATATATTTTATTGATTTTTCACAGAGAGGAAGGGAGACGGACAGAGAGTTAGAAACATCGACGAGAGAGAGACATCGACCAGCTGCCTCCTGCACACGCCCCTACTGGGGATGTGCCCGCAACCAAGGTCCATCCCCCTGACCCGGAATGGAACCCGGGACCCTTCAGTCCGCAGGCCGACGCTCTGTCCACGGAGCCACACCGGTTTCGGCTCCCCGCTGCGCTTCCGTCTCACGCCCTCTCCGCTGCGGTTCTCGCCCCAGGACATCAGAGCCAGCGTGGAGAAGATCAGCCGGTTCCTGGGCACCGAGCTGAACCCGGAGGAGATGGACTCCGTGCTCCAGCACGTCACCTTCCAGGCCATGAAGGACAATAAGATGAGCAACTTCTCGCTGGTCCCCGACATCCACATTGACCACAGCAACATGCGTTTCATGAGGAAAGGTGAGAGGAGAGCCTCTGACTTTATTTACTTATTTTTTTAATGTATTTTATTGATTTCTTACAGAGAGGAAGGGAGAGGGACAGAGAGTCAGAAACATCGATGAGAGAGAAACATCGAGCAGCTTAGCTGCCTCTTGCACACCTCCCACTGGGGATGTGCCTGAAACCAAGGGACATGCCCTTGACCGGAATCGAACCTGGGATGCTTGAGTCTGCAGGCCGGCGCTCTATCCACTGAGCCACACTAGTTTTGGCTTTATATATATATATATATATATATATATTATTGATTTCAGAGAGGAAGGGAGAGGGAGAGATAGAAACATCCATGATGAGAGAGAATCATTGATCCGCTGCCTCCTGTACACCCCACACTGGGGATTTGAGCCTGCAACCTGGGCCTGTGTCCTTGACCGGAATCGAACCTGGGACCCTTCAGTCTGCAGGCCGACGCTCTATCCACTGAGCCACACCGGCCAGGGCAAGAGTCTCTGACTTTAAGACGTGAGTGAAACGGACAGCGAACACTTCCCAGCTTCTGCTGATGCCCCAAGACCGTGGTAGGCAAACCGCGGCTCGCGAGCCACGTGCGGCTCTTTGGCCCCTGGAGGGCGGCCCTTCCGCAGAACACCACGGCCCGGGCGAGTCTGTGTGGAAGAAGTGGCGTTGGAAGAAGTTTACGTTTAAAAGGATGCGGCTCTCCAGAGGAATGCCGACCGTTGTGCTGTTGGTGGCTGGCTCTGAGGACGGATGAGATTGCGCTAAGACAGGGATGAGGGAGATTGTTTCAGTGCACACAAACCACATAAGCGGGAGCCTGACTTTGTGAGCCGAGGGGAGGGTCTGGGGTATCTATTAGGCGGCAGAGAAAACTCAGCAACGAGAAGGCTTGCTGACGAGCCACGCCTCTCTTGTGTGTTATCTGGTCCCGCCCATTTCCCCACCATGTAGATGACACGCCTATCTGCACATGTAAAAGCCTAAGCGACCATCCGACTGTTCAGCTATCCGATCAGTAGCCATGATGTGCACTGACCACCAGGGGGCAGACACTCAGACCGGGATCTATATATATAAAAGGCTAAGCGGTCATGATGTGCACTGACCACCAGGGGGCAGACGCTCAGACCGGGATCTATATATATAAAAGGCTAAGCGGTCATGATGTGCACTGACCACCAGGGGGCAGACGCTCAGACCGGGATCTATATATATAAAAGGCTAAGCGGTCATGATGTGCACTGACCACCAGGGGGCAGACGCTCAGACCGGGATCTATATATATAAAAGGCTAAGCGGTCATGATGTGCACTGACCACCAGGGGGCAGACGCTCAGACCGGTATCTATATATATAAAAGGCTAAGCAGTCATGATGCGCACTGACCACCAGGGGCCGATGCTCAGACTGGTATCTATATATACAAAAGGCTAAGCAGTCATGATGCACACTGACTCCCAGGGGGCAGCCACTCCAACCAGTAGCTATGACGCACACTGACCACCGGGGGCAGACGCTCAGACCGGTATCTATATATATAAAAGGCTAAGCGGTCATGATGCGCACTGACCACCAGGGGGCAGACGCTCAACGCCGGAGCTGCCGAGCTGCGGTGACTTGGCAGCTGCGGTTCTCGGGTTACCAGAGAAGAGGGAGCTCGATTCTAGGGTGCATCCCCCGAGAACCGCCCTCTGGCCATCCGGGACCCCTCCGGGGATGTCCGAGAGCCGGTTTCGCCCGATCCCCGCAGGCCAGGCCGGGGGACCCCACGGGTGCACGAATCCGCGCACTGGGCCTCTAGCTTTCTACAGAGAGTGTCCACGCACAGTGCTGGCCTGAGCCCCACACATGTCGCGTGACAATCCCCTCACATACGTGGACGACGGGGGTACACGCAGTGCCAGGCACAGGTGGAGCGTGAGAGGAGAGAGGGCCGACTCGGGAGTCATGATCCACAGCGAGAACAGCGGCCCGGCCCCCGGCCTGGCTCAGCAGCTGAGCATCCACCTGGGAACCAGGAGGACACGGCTCCGTTCCCGGTCAGGGCACAGGCCCGGGGTGTGGGAGGCATGGGTGGGGCGTGCAGGGCAGACCTTCTGGTGAATCCCATCGGACTCCTGTGCTCTGTGTCCGGCAGGCATCGCCGGGGACTGGAAGAACCAGCTCACCGTGGCCCAGACGGAAGCCTTCGACAGGGTTTACCGAGAGAAGATGGCGGGGCTGCCCCCGGGCCTCTTCCCGTGGGATTAGCGGCCCCCCCGAGTCCCATCGGGGGCCGAGGCTGAATGTCCTGAGGATGTTTTTTTTAAAAAATATATATATTTTATTGTCCTTTTACAGAGAGGAAGGGAGAGGGATAGAGAGCTAGAAACATCCACCAGCTGCCTCCTGCACACTACCCCCCACCCCCCGGGGATGTGCCCGCAACCAAGGCACATGCCCTTGACCAGAATCGAACCCGGGACCCTTCAGTCCGCACGCAGGCCGGCCCTCTATCCACTGAGCCACACCGGTTCCGGCCTCACTGATCAACCCTAATTTCAGCCCAAGACGCTCGAATCAGCTGAAAAGCGTTATCTGTTCCCCCTCCCCTTACCCCCTCCCTGGAGGAGAACGCCTGGAGGAGAACCGACAACACACATCCCTTCCCGCCCGATGGGGCAGACCCACCCACCCACCCAACCCGGGACGCGGGGGGCTGGGGGGAGAAGGCACATTTACCCACATCCCCACACACACATCCAGACTCGCATCGGGGCGACCGCCAGGCACGCGTCTGTCTGTCCCAAAGGCCCCTTAACCCTCCTCACCGTGGTCCGTGTCGGGGTCCTATCACCATCCCCGTTCCAGACAGGGAAACCGAGGCACGGGGCGTGTGCGCCCGGGGAAGGACCGTAGCAGCCGTGCTTGGGTAAACACTGCTGTCTGGTACGTTAACCTTGCTGGGTGGAGTATGAGTGGAGGGTAGGGGATAATGGGGGGATAAGAACACATATGTAAAATAATAATAATAATAATAATTAAAAATTTATTTTAATCTTGCGGTTTTGTGTTCTGGACGCATCTAGAGATTACTTATTTTTTTAAATATATTTTATTGATTTTTTTTACAGAGAGGAAGGGAGAGGGATAGAGAGCCAGAAACATCGATGAAGGAGAATCATCAACCAGCTGCCTCCTGCACACCCCCCACTGGGGATGTGCCACAACCAAGGTACATGCCCTTGACTAGAATCGAACCCGGGACACCGCCCCCCAGTCCGCAGGCCAACGCTCTATCCACTGAGCCACACCGGTCTTGGCTAGAGGTTACTTTGATTTTCTGAACTTAGGGATGCTGTCCCAACCCTCCATGGATGGTGGTTTGAATGTCCCATGGATGGTGGCCTCACTGGTCATCGAACCACATTCTCTGGGACCCAGGACAGCTCAGTGACCCTGAATTGTCTCAGCGGCTGCAGATAGTGCGTTCCTGTGGACTCCGTGGTCCCGGTATCTGGATCACACAATTCTTCTGAATTGTCCGGGTGGTCCCAGAGAATGTGTTTCTGTGGATTCAGCGACCCATCGATACTTTATTTATATCGATATATATATCGCATTTTTTTTTAGATTTCTTAAACTATAGAAAATAAATCTATTACCAGATTGCAGATACCAAATAACTAACCACTGACATGCAATACACATTAATACGTCAAGGAAAAAAAAAGATTTAAAATGGACTATTACTGAAACTGTACTAACAGTGCATCACAAAAGTTGTAGGAAATATTAAAAAAATAAAAAAAAAAACCCTGCAAACAGCAGGATTACCTGTTGTGTTCTGAGATGTCCTTTCCCTCTGGGTTTGAGTGTATGCCAGGTGTTCACTATATCCCACACACGTGATGTGGGTCTTTCTCCGACGGGCCTACTTCGCTTAGCAGACGCTGTCCAGGCCGGCCCATAGCATTTCCGATGCTAAGAGCGCCTTCTCTCGACAGCAGCGAGGTGTTCCAGGTGCAGGTGGGCCTCAGGGTTTTTAATCCTCTGCTCTGCGGAGGGGCACCGGGCTGTTTCCCCGTCCGGACTTCAGGTCACTAACCCGCTCAGTCCCACGTCTGTCACATGGGAAGCAGGCTCGCACCCCAGACCAGAGACGGAATGATGCCCCGGTGACCTCTGCCCGAGAGCCAGGCTGGCGAGCTGACGGGGCTGCGAGGTCTGGGGCCTTAGCCCCTCGGAGGCCCCCCAGCCTTTAACAAATGACCCCGTGCCTGGACTTCCTGAGGCGCCCTTTGTGAGATGGGGGCACACCACGCCTTCCGGGGAGCCCCACAACTGGCCCCGGGGGAGCCCCTGAGAGCACCTCACCGCAGGGGAGCCGGCGGCCGCAGAGGGTGCCTGGCACCTAACGGTTCAGCTTCCCCGGAGGCGGGGGCGCCGCTGAGGATGAACCAACCCCACCCAGTGCGCTCCCCCGCCGCCGGGGGGCGCTGTGACCTCACAAGCTAACGCGAAGGGCTTGTTACCATGGAGACTGGGAATGCATTTGGAAACCGGGGCGGAGCGAGGAGGGGGCGCTGTGACGTCACAAGCAAGCGAGAAGGGCCTGTTACCATGGAGACTGGGGATGCATTTGGAGATGGGGGGAGTGCTCTCCCCTCGCCGCTGGGGGCGCTGTGACCTCACAAGCAAGCGAGAAGGGCCTGTTACCATGGAGACTGGGCATCCATTGGAAACCGGGGTGCGGGGTGGGGGGGGGTCTGGGGGGTCGCACTCACCTCCGGGGCACTTCGGAGTCCCTGCTTCCGGCCCCGGAACCAGGACGCGGCCTCCCCGCTGCGGGGCCTGGGAAGCTGCCGGGGGCCGAGGCGAGCGGATCCCCGGCTCCGCCGACGAGAGAGCCGCCCGCGGGGACCCGTTCCCTAAAGTGGACGGAGTGACTCGCCTCTCCGCCAATCGGAGTCCTTCCTCCAGCCTGGCCCCGCCCCCTTCCCCAGGCTTCCGGCGTCTCGCTGTCTCCAGGGCGACCCTCACGCTGCGGGCCCAAAGGCTTCTGGGTGTTGTAGTCTCCAAAGGGCAGAGACTCGGGAGACCCACTTGTTTATTAAAAAAGAGAGATTGGGACCCAAAGGCCCACATCCAGCGACGACTCCGTGCATAGGAGGCGCTGGCACACGGTGTCGCCATCTGTTATCTGCCGGGGAAGCCGAACAGGAGGTTTGGGCCTGGTCCCAGGTTCGATTCCGGTCAAGGGCATGCACCTTGGTTGCGGGCACATCCCCAGTGGGGGGCGTGCAGGAGGCAGCTGGTCGATGTTTCTCTCTCATCGATGTTTCTAACTCTCTGTCCCTCCCTCTTCCTCTCTGTAACAAACCAATAAAATATATGAATATATATATTCATATATTTTATTATATATATTATATATATATATTATAATATATATATATAAACTTCTCTTTAAAAAAAGAGGCATTACGCAGTTAATACAGCTGCTGCAGTCGCTCGATGACCTGTCGTCCACCTGATCCTGCTTTCCTGTCTTTTCTTTTCTGGATTCCCACCTCCCTGCCTCGGCCCGGTTCACCCGTCAGGCTGGCCCCGGCCCTCCACGGCGGGCGAACAGAATAACTGAGCGTCTGGCCATTTCAGCAGGTGGACGTTTTATTGTGGACACGGTGGGGAGGGCGGGGAGAGGGTCTGGAGGGAGGGTCATGGGGGAGACCCCGGCCAGCGGTCACTCAGTGGCTCTCAGCCCAGCCTCCGTGTGGCCCTCAGAGACAGCCTCCCGCCCTGCTCTGGGCAGGACGGTGTCATTCCTCCGAGGACCCAGTCCGTTACCCTCCTCGTCGGCAGTCGGGGGCACAGAGAGGGTTCCTGGAAGAGGAGGTGACCCGGGAGACAGAGAACGTGAAGGCTGAGCCGAGCGGAGCAGGGCGGCTAGAAAGAGCAGCAGGGGTCGGCCCTAAGGAAAGGGAGAGAAGGAAAAAGAAAAGAAATGTGTTTGTGCATCCATGTGCATGTGCGACCCCTCTCCTCGCTCACCGTGCTTCACTCTCTGTCCCTCCCACCTGCAGGGTTCCCTTCCCCCCAGACACACGCCCACAGATCTCAGCCCATGTGCCCACCGTCCAGAACGGAAATATCACGCTGACGCGTACACAGAAGGAACTGTTTGACATGGAAACCGGGTCTCAAAAGAACTGGTGCCCCAGAAAGAAACTCTCTACAGACTGATTCATCTGCCTCTCAGCATAACCATTATTGCTTGTCTCATTTTTTATTCTTTTTTAAAATATTTTTTTTTTTGACTTTTTACAGAGAGGAAGGGAGAGGGATAGAGAGTTAGAAACATGGATGAGAGAGAAACATCGATCACCTGCCTCTTGCACGCCCCCGACTGGGGATGTGCCCGCAATCAAGGTACATGCCCTTGAGGGGAATCGAACCTGGGACCCTTCAGTCCGCAGGCCGGCGCTCTATCCACTGAGCCAAATGGGTTTCAGCTCATTTTCAATTCTTATAAGTATATTTCCAGTAGGACATGACCTCACGCATCTGGGGGAAACGGTGGACAACACAGACGGATGAACAAGAACAGACCCAGAGACAAGGAGCCAGGGGTCAGACTGCTGGGCCTCAGAGGGAGGTTGGGGGTAAAAGGGAGAGATCAACCAAAGGACTTGTGTGCACACATAGGAGCCTAACCAGGGGTCAGGGACAATAGGGGGGTGGGGGCATGAGTGTGTGTGGGGGGATTGGAATGGGGGGTTGAGGACAAATATGTGATACCTTAATCAATCAAGAAATTAAATAAATAAATAAAAATAATGGCTCCTCCCCATTACTCCCCAGTAGAAATATCTCCTCTTCAGAAGGAAGGCGCCCTCTCTGGTTCCTCTGCGTCACAGCACCCTGCCGGGCCTTCCAAGGAGACTCACGTTTGCCCCTTCCCCTCCCACCAGAGGGAGCCCTTCATCAGCTCAAGCACTTCCTGTGTTACAGCCCCCCTGGACCCCCCAACACGGCCCCCCCGGAGCACCCAGGGTAGGTGCAGGGAGTGGCTAGATAAGGTTTTCTCTGGCGTCTCAGGGGCAGAGGAAGGAGACTCTTGCTCCCGAGGGGCTCACAGTCTAGGGCAGGGTCCACTAACAACCACAGAAAGATTTAAGGGTAAATCCAGCTTCCACCTGCCCCTCCCCTTTTAGAGTACCCCCGACCCCCCAAATTGTGGTAAAATCCGCAAAACATACAACTTGTCATTTTAACGAATCCAGGATTTGTCATAGAGCAGTTGCCCAATAAAAATGTATTGAGTGAGCCAAAACCGGTTTGGCTCAGTGGATAGAGCGTTGGCCTGCGGACTGGAAAGTCCCAGGTTTGATTCCGGTCAAGGGCATGGACCTTGGTTGCGGGCACATCCCCAGTGGGGGGGTGTGCGGGAGGCAGCTGATGGATGTTTCTCTCTCATCGATGTTTCTAACTCTCTCTTCCTCTCTGTAAAAAAATCAATAAAATATATTTTTAAAAAATATATATCTTTAAAAAAATTTTTTAAAGATATATATTTTTATATATATATATTTTTATATATATATAAAGATATATATTTTTTAAAGATATATATATATATATATATATATATATATATATATATATATATATAGACTTTCCAGTCCGCAGGCCAATGCTCTATCCACTGAGCCAAACTGGTTTTGGCTCCAAGGAAATTTCAGTCATTGTCCTGTTGATATCTGTTTTTGTTTTTATTTTTTAAAAATTCTCCTGAGCGCCAAAACCAGTTTGGCTCAGTGGATAGAGCGTCGGCTTGGGGACTGAGGGGTCCCGGGTTCGATTCCGGTCGGGGGCATGTACCTTGGTTGCGGGCATATCCCCAGTGGGGGGTGTGCAGGAGGCGGCTGATCGATGACTCTCTCTTCGATGTTTCTAACTCTCTGTCTCTCTCCCTCCCTCTGTACAAAATCAATAAAATATATTAAAAAATAAAAAAATGAAAATTCTCCTGAGCTGGATAACGGTATGGTTGCCCAGCGTTGTGCACGGTAAACTCCACGGCCGGCGTGCTTCACAGCCGAAGAAATGAGCAACATGAAGCTCGTACTACTCCCCGCAGCTCTCCCAGGCCCCAGCGCGCTCCCCCTGGGCGGCCCGGCCAGGCTGCCGAGGCCCGGAGCGCGGGTCTGTGCACGCGGCTCTGCGGTCCTGTGACCGGGTCCGAGCTCACCTGGGGCTCCCTCCCGGCTCAGACAGCCGGCCGCGGGGCAACGCCCTCCGCCCCGGAGCAGGCAACCCCCCTCCTCCGTCACCCCCCTCCCCCATCACACACCCCCTCCCCCATCACTCCCCACCCCCATCACCCCTCCCCCATCACACACCCCCTCACACCCCTCCCCCATCACCCCTCCCCCATCACCCCTCCCCCATCACACCCCCTCCCCATCACACCCCCTCCCCATCACCCCTCCCCCATCACCCCTCCCCCATCACACCCCCTCCCCATCACAACCCTCTCCCATCACAACCCCCCTCCCCCATCACACCCCTCCCCCATCACACCCCCCTCCCCCATCACACCCCTCCCCATCACACCCCCCTCCCCCATCACACCTCTCCCACCTTCACACCCCCTCCCCCATCACACCCCTCCCCCATCACACCCCTCCCCCATCACACCCCCTCTCCCATCACACCCCCTCCCCCATCACACCCCCTCCCCCATCACCCCCTCCCCCATCACACACCTCCCCCATCACACCCCTCCCCCCATCACACACCTCGTCTCCAGCTCCCGGCTGCATATGTGGCAGTAACACTGGGCGGGTGACGAGGGGGGAACCGGGAACAGAGAAAGGAATGGTGAGGGTGAGGCAAGTCATCTTACCACCTTCCCTTCCCCCACCCCCGTTTCCTCTCTCCCTCTTCCCTCCCTTCCTCCCTTTTTCCCTCCCTCCCTTTCTTCCCTTCCTTCCTTCCTCTCTCTTTCTTCCTTTCTCTCTCTCTCTCTCTCTCTCTCTCTCTCTCTCTCTCTCTCTCTCTTTCTCTTCTCTCTCCTCTCTCCTCTCTCTCTCTCTCTCTCTCTCTCTCTCTCTCTCTCTCTCTCTCTCTCTCTCTTTCTCAACAATCTAGCCCCAGAGGCACCTGCTCTTTTTCTTATTATTTTTTTTATTTTATTTTATTGATTTTTTTACAGAGAGGAAGGGAGAGGGATAGGGAGCTGGAAACATCGATGAGAGAAAAACATCCACCAGCTGCCTCCTGCACACCCCCCACTGGGGATGTGCCCGCCACCAAGGCCCATGCCCTTGACCGGAATCGAACCCGGGACCCTTCCGTCCGCAGGCCGACGCTCCATCCACTGGGCCACACCGGCTTGGGCATCCTCTCCTACCTTTTGTTTGCTTGGCACCCCTTTGTCTCCCTCCCCCCTAATGTGTGCTCCCCATCCCTCTCCCTCCTCCCACTCCCGCCTCCCAGCCCGCCCCCCTCCGGGCACCGGGCTCCTCCTCACCCAGTCTCCTTTGTTGTAGGACACGAACAGGAAGGTGGCCACCATGTAGGCGCACTTCAGGAGGCTCCACTGGCTCCCCGGGCTCTTCCTGAGCAGCTTGGCGGGCACGGTCGTAGGGGGACGCTTCACTGGGGGGAGCAGACGGCAGTGACTCACGGGGAAGGCGAGCCCTTGCCGCCTAGAAACCCTGTCCCCTTCAGAATCTCCCTTCTAACACGTCTATGGCTGACGGACAGCCTAACCCCGGGGTCGGCAAACTGCGGCTCCCGAGCCACAGGCGGCTCTTTGGCCCCTGGAGGGTGGCTCTTCCACAAAACACCACGGCCTGGGTGAGTCTGTGTTGAAGAAGTGGCGTTAGAAGAAGTTTAAGTTTATGCCGAAACCGGTTTGGATCAGTGGATAGAGCGTCGGTCTGAGGCCTGAAAGGTCCCGGGTTCGATTCCTGGTCAAGGGCATGGACCTTGGTTGCGGGCACATCCCCGGTAGGGGGTGTGCAGGAGTCAGCTGATGGATGTTTCTCTCTCATCGATGTTTCTAGTACTCTATCCCTCTCCCCTCCCTCTCTGAAAAAATCAATAAAATATATATATTTGTAAAAGGTTTAATTGGCCTTATGTAAGGACACATGAATCAGGCAGCATCCCCTGAAATAATGATCTCTTTGGACCTTCCTTTCAGTTATATGTTCTCAATTCTATCGTTTCCATTTGATGATCTTTTTTTTTTATAAATATATTTTTATTGATTTTGTACAGAGAGGAAGGGAGAGAGATAGAGAGTTAGAAACATCGATGAGAGAGAGTCATCGATCAGCTGCCTCCTGCACACCCCCTACTGGGGATATGCCAGCAACCGAGGTACATGCCCTTGACCGGAATCGAACCCGGGACCTTTCAGTCCCCAAGCCGACGCTCTATCCATTGAGCCAAACCGGTCTCGGCTTGATGATCTTTTTAAACAAAGTTTAATCCTCTGGTGAAATCATTCATCTATTTTCTGTGAACTTAACAAGCCTAGCTATTGCCTAGCTATTGCCTAGCTATTGCCTGGCGTGGCTCAGTGATTGAGCATCGACCTATGAACCAGGAGGCCATGATTTGATTCCCCCGTCAGGGAACAGGCTGGATCCCCAGTAGGGGGCGTGCAGGAGGCAGCTGATCCATGATTCTCTCTCATCATTGATGTTTCTATCTCTCTCACCCTTTCCCTCTCCCTCTCCCTTCCTCTCTGATACCAAGAAAGACATATTTTAAAATAATAATAATAAATAATAATAATAATAGCTATGTTTAAGTGTTTCTCCCTAGTATCTGGGTCACTTAGAAAGCTTGCTTCTCTTCTCTGGTGTTCTTGCTCTTGGTTTTCAGCCACTCAGTCCTGTCCCTCAGGACGTGCCTGCTAACTTCCAAGGAGGGGACAAGGTTCAGTGATCCATGGCAGGAGGGACTGGGAAACACAAACATGTCCCCATTCCTGCCTTAGGGCGTGGGGTAGCCTTGATGCCAGTGAGCAGTCAGAGGGGGGAGGCTTTGGGTGCCTCTTCCCAGGTACGGAAGCCCCGACCTTGGTTACCTGAGATCCCAGGGCTTATGGTAGCCCAGCCTGAAGGAGCTCACTGTTCTCCAGATTCCCTGCACTCACCTTCTTCCTTGCAGTCATTTGTTTCTTCTGAAAAATGGAGGAGGGGAGAGGAGGAGGAAGAGGGCAGAAAGAAGGAGAAAGAAGGAGAGAGGAGGAGGAGGAGGAGGAGGAGGAGGAGGAAGAAGAAGAAGAAGAAGAAGAAGAAGAAGAAGAAGAAGAAGAAGAAGGAGAAGGAGAAGGAGAAGGAGAAGGAGAAGGAGAAGGAGAAGGAGAAGGAGAAGGAGAAGGAGAAGGAGAAGGAGAAGGAGAAGGAGAAGGAGAAGGAGAAGGAGAAGGAGAAGGAGAAGGAGAAGGAGAAGGAGAAGGAGAAGGAGGAGAAGGAGAAGGAGAAGGAGAAGGAGAAGGAGAAGGAGAAGGAGAAGGAGAAGGAGAAGGAGAAGGAGAAGGAGAAGGAGAAGGAGAAGGAGAAGGAGGAGAAGGAAGAGGAGAAATAGGAGATGGTGGTGGAAGTGGAAGAAGAAGAGAAGGAGGAGGAGGGGAGGAAGAAGGAAGAGAAGAAAAAGAAATGGGAAGTGGTGGTGGAAGAGGGAGAAGATGACGACGAAGACGAAGACGAAGAAGAAGGAGGAGGAGGAGGAGGAGGAGACAGAAGGAGGGGGGAGGAAGAAGAAAGAGGAGAAAGAGAAGAGGGAGGGAGGAAAGGAGGGATAGGGAAGGGGGTGAGGAGGAGAGGAAGCAAGAAAAGAAACCATCAGCGAATCATGAAATGGATGGAGACCAAACTGCAAACAGTCCACTGGGCGCCTCACACGAGAAGGGAGTGCCGTGAGCCGCCATGCTGTCCCCCGCTCCCAGCACTCCCCTGCCTCATGGCCTCTGCACACGCCGTTCCCTCAGCCCCGTGGCACACAAACTGGCTCCCTCACCTCCTTCAAGTCTTGGCTGAAATGTCACTTTCCCTGATCAGCCCCTGAAAATGTTATCAACCTCTCCCACAATGCACTTCCCTCTGCCTCCCCTACTAACGTCATAGGGCTTTTCAGCGTCCAACAGACTTAACCTCCTTCCTTGTTTTGTGTTTTGTTTTGTTTTGTTTTTTTGTTCTCTCATTAGTTCCAGCTGGGCACCTATTTTTGTCTGTTCTAGTCCCTAGAATGGGACTTAGGGTAGCTCATATCTATTAGTTATATTTGTTGCCAGATGAAGGAAAAATGTTAAACATGCATGACACTCGCCGAAACCAATGTGGCTCAGTGGATAGAGCATCGGCTTGAGGACTGAAGGGTCCCGGGTTCGATTCTGGTCAAGGGCATGTATCTTGGTTGCAGGCACATCCCCAGTGGGGAGTGTGCAAGAGGCAGCTGATCAAAGATTCTCTCTCATCAGTGTTTCTAACTCTCTATCCCTCTCTCTTCCTCTCTGTAAAAAAAAAAAAAATAAAAAAATCAATAAAATATATTTTAAAAACACACACACACATGCATGATGCTAATGACAAGGGTGATGAAGAGTATAAAGGATCTTTCAACTTTTTTTTTTTTTTTTAATAGCTAGTGTCTCTCTATTTCTGCGTATGGGACCAAAAACCAGTAGTGAAGCCAAAGAGCAGTCACCACTTACCATTCAACACTTGGAGGCTCAGCAATCCTACGGAAGACAACATACGAATTACACACAACATACACATCGAATAGCATAAGGCAGCGTGATCAGTGCCCCCAAACCAACAGACTCAACACGCCCATCCCACGCTACCTCTCACCTCTTCCCATTGCCCCTTCCCACCAAAATCCCAGGTCCTGGATGGAGCGAGATACTCACCTAGAATCTCTGTTGTCATCCGTCCAGAAGGAAGTGTGGTCCCAGAGGCAAGACCACGGTCAGGTTGGCAAAGTCCAGATTGCCGAGTGTAAGGAGCCATGAGAGAGGAGACCATACATGGGGGGGGGGGGGAATCACTAGATCAGAAGGCGGGAGATCAGACCAATGAGAGAAGCACCAAGATGGGTGGTGGTGGGCAGTTAGGACTTATAGTCAGGGAACTGGGTGGGGGAGCTGACCAAAATCTCATCGCGCGGGTCCGAGGGGAGGTGTCTAATGGCATAGAGGACTTGTGCGGAATCAGGGTTAGGTTGGAAAAGTAGCCACCAGCTCTCCATATACTCAGTGTCGCCATGTTGTAGGCACCTACCTACTTCAGATGGATAACGCCTACCATCAGAAAGTTTTTGTTACAATATGCTTTAAAAATATATTTCAGAGAGGAAAGGAGAGGGACAGAGAGAGAGAAACATCCATGATGAGAGAGAATCATGGAGCGGCTGCCTCCTGCACGCCCCACACTGGGGATGGAGCTCGCAAACCAGGCCTGTGCCCTCATAGGAATGAAACCATAACCTCCTGGTTCATAGGTTGGTGCTCAACCACTGAGCCATACTGCTGGGCCATTAGAACGTTTTTAGGGGGATATATAACATAATACATAAAGGCGCCTGACACCTGAGAAACTCTTAGTGACTATTTGTTACGGTCATCACCATCACCTATCCCTGACTCGGGGAGGGGATTGGTTCTCCTAAGACTGTGGTTGGCAAACTGCAGCTCATGAGCTACATGCGGCTCTTTGGCCCCTTGAGTGTGGCTCTTCCCCAAAATACCACGGCCTGGGCAAGTCTATTTTTGAAGAAGTGGTGTTAGAAGAAGCTGAAGTTTAAAAAATCTGGCTCTCAAAAGAAATTTCAATCCTTGTACTGTTGCTGTTTGGCTCTGTGGACTCATGAGTTTGCCGACCACTGTCCTAAGACAACCCACCTCTTTGAAGGGGAAGGTAATCGTTATTTCCAGTCCCTGGGCTAAAATAAGTTCACTGAGAGATGACCCATGGCTGGGAACGAACCCTTGAGCAGGTCTAAGAAAGTGAAGATGGGCCTGGCTGGCAGGCACGGTACAGTGGCTGAGCATCAACCTGCAAACCAGGAGGTCCTGGTTCGATTCCCAGTCAGGGCACCTGCTTGGGTTGCGGGTTCGAGCCACGCAAGTGGGAGGCAGCTGATCCATGACTCATGGATGATTTTCTCTTTCTCTCTCCCTCTCCTTTCCTCTCTGAAATCAATAAAAATATATTTGAGCCAAAACTGGTTTGGCTCAGTGGATAGAGCGTCAAGTTGGGGACTGAAGGGTCCCGGGTTCGATTCCGGTCAAGGGCATGTACCTTGATTGTGGGCACATCCCCAGTGGAGGGTATGCAAGAGGCAGCTGATTAATAATTCTCTCTCATCGATGTTTCTAACTCTCTATCCCTCTCCCTTCCTCTCTGTAAAATATCAATAAAATATATTAAATATATATATATATTTGGAAAATTAAAAAAAGAAAGAAAGAAAGTGATCATGGCAAAAGAGGGGAGGGGTAGGGGCATAGAACAAGAGACTTACGTTTCAATACTGTTGCGATGTGAGCACCACGGAGGGGAAACCCAGTAGGCGTCGTTGGCACCGACAGAAACAAGGGTGAGAGAACGAGGAAGGTGTTAATGGCTCCTTCCTAGCTCATTCCACCCCGTTGGTTCTCAGAAGAGACCAGCCCATAGGAGGGAAGTGAGAGCATTGACCGTGTTTCATGGGATGGGCTGGGGGTCCAGGGTGAGTGACTTTAGATGCTTCTACTCTACTTGTCCCCTCGGGAGACACATTTACCCAGAATCCCCAGGGACTCCGTGTCCTTGGGGATTCATCCCCCCAGAGATTAAGAAAATTATAAGAAGCTGAAGTGTGGCTCCATAGATAGAGCATCGGCCTGCGGACTGAAGGGTCCCAGGTTCGATTCCGGTCAAGGGCATGTACCTTGGTTGCGGGCACAAACCCAATGGAGGGCGTGCAGGAGGCAGCTGATGAATGTTTCGCTCTCATCCATGTTTCTAACTCTCTGTCCCTCTCCCTTCCTTTCTGTAAAAAAAAATAAAAAAATAAAAAAATAAAAAAATAAAAAAAATTAAAAAAGAAAGAAAGAAAGAAAGAAAATTATAAGAAGAAGATTCCGTCTGACCTCTTTTAATCTCCTTTCTCTCCCTTGGGGTCAGCAGGGGAGAAAAGCTTGGGGGAAAAGTTGCACCTCTTGGGTCTCCTTGTTCAGCCTCCCTCTCAACAAATACGTGCACCTCAACATGTCTTCGTATTCTGGGCAGCGGTCTTCGGCTTTTGAGAATCCAATGAAGTTTGGGAACCATATATGTGCTCACCTACCCCTTCATGCCTACTGTCCCGCCCGCATCCCCCACATGTAAAGACAGATGTCTGAGCACTTTTGTGCAAAGCTGAAAGGGTAGGGCATTCCAGCATCCAGACAAATGATGGGTCAGACGGAATCTTCTTATAATTTTCTTTAAAAAAAAAAAAAAATTCGCTCTCACGACTTTCATTTCTGTCTTGGGGGGAGAGGCATTAGGGCAGAAGGAGACCTCCCTCAGCAGAGGGTCTCTCCTGTGATGTGGCTCTTCCTTGGAGAAGAACCCAAACAGCCCCTTCTCTCTCTCTCTTGCTTCCTTTTCTTCCCAGCATCCAAGGTGCCCGAGAAAGAACGTACCTTTCACTGAAGGGTGCAGCAGAGCCGGGAGTCAGAGTGTCCACATGGAAGAGAGGAAGCGAGAGAGTGAGATCAACAGGAACCCCCCTCCTCCAGTCCACTCCATTATTCCTTCATTAAACAGCCTTAAAATTACTGGTTTTTTTTTTTTATTGTGGACCAATTATAGACTCACAGACACTGCAAAAAAATAGCACAGAAGAGAAAAACCAAGATGGCGGCATAGGTGAGCAACTAACCTGCTGCCTTGCACAACAATTTCAAAACTACAACTAAAGAGACAAAACTTCTATCACCCAAAACCATGAGAAAGCTGGCTGAAAGAGAAAGGGGCACAAGTGCTGAAAAGCTGAAAAGCTGAGGTTGATGCTCAACCACTGAGCCACCGCGGACTCGGCTGCTTACTGCTCCTGATGGATGTTTCCAAGTCTTCATCATAAGACACTTAGACAATAAAAGATTACAAATAGTTGTAAAAAAAAAATAGCACAGAGGGGTCCTGTGCGCCCATTGTCCAGCTTCTCCCCCATCCCCGTGGTGACGTCTTCCATGACCATGGCATGTTATCAAAGCCAGGACATTGGCATTGGCCAATACTGTTCACCGGGCTATCGACCTTACTCACTCAGATTTCACTTTTTTTTTTTTCATGTACTCTTTTTTTTGTGCTTTATTAAATACGTATCTCACAGTCATGGGGAGGCTATACTAATAAAAATATATTTGAAAAAAAAAAAAGACCAATGAATGCATAAATAAGAGGAACAACAAATCTCTCTGTCTCTCTCTGAATCCCTCTCTCTTTCCTCTCTCTCTTCCCCTCCCTCTCTCTTTTTAAAATCAATCAATAAAAATGCCTTTTCAAAATTGCCTGGGCCCTTCCCCCAACCTTTTAAAGGAGTTTCCAGGCCCGGGAGGTTCCAAGAAGGTAATTTCAAGGACACAGACATGGGACCGTCACCAAACTTACTTTCTTCTTCTGTCCTGTCTGGAAGTGAGCACCCAGGCGGCCAGGTTCCCGTGGGGGTGCAGAGGGAAGAGAGAAATCGGCGTTAACACAGGGACCCTGGACCCCCACCCGGGAAGCGTCCCCGGCCCGGTCAGAGGAGAGCAGAGGCAGAAATGCTGGCGGTGACGACGCAGGCACGCCTGGGCCTCCATCGCGAAGCCAGCCTCTCCCTTTAACAGACGCCAGCGGGCATCTCTGTGCCTGGGATGGAGGAGGCGTGGAGATCGGGCGGGCAAGGCCCCTACATGCAGAGCCAAGACTGGCAGGAGAAGCAGCCGACAGAAGAGCCCTGAACTGAGGACGCGGGGACGTGTGATCCTGGGTGCACCTGTGGGTACGGTCGGGCACCTATGGGGGGGGGGTGAGGGGGGCGATGTTTGCTGACCTGTTGGGGGTGCAGGGGAAGGCATCTTGGAGGCTTTGTTTCTGAAACCTGAAAGATGAGGACATGCCAGCCTGATCACCCTCAACTGCCCCCCACCCTGCTGGCCTTCTCACACCCAACTGCCCCCCCCCCCCCCGCCAGCCTGATCACCCTCAACTTCCCTCCACTGCTTGCCTGCTTTCCTGCAACTGCCAGCCTGATCACCCCTAACTGCCTCAGCTTCTCCAATTAGCCGGGCGGAGACATTGGAAAGGAGGGAGAGGAGCAGCTCAGCCTGGGCTTGGTGTTGGGGGGTGGAAGGGGGGGTTGTGCAGAGCATGGGTGGGCTGAGAGAGACCCTTCATGAGGCCCCACGGTAGAAGGTGGCTGTGGTGTGAAAGTCCCCAGGGCTAGAGGGTTGGAGGTAACGTGAAAGACCTCGGACCAGTTCTTACGAAAAGTGGGGTCCTGGTTGGGTAGCTCAGTTGGTCAGAGTGATGTCTCCATACGCAAAGGTTGCAGGTTCAATCCCCGCTCAGGGAACAGTGAATAACCAGTGAACGCATACATAAATAGAATAAGAAATTGATGTTCCGCCGAAACCGGTTTGGCTCAGTGGATAGAGTGTCGGCCTGCAGACTGAAAGGTCCCAGGTTCAATTCTAGTCAAGGGCATGGTCCTTGGTTGTGGGCACATCCCCAGTAAGGGGGTGTGCAAGAGGCAGCTGGTTGGTGATTCTCTCTCATCTATGTTTCTAACTCTCTATCCCTCTCTCTTCCTCTCTGTAAAAAAAAATAAAAAAATAAAAAAATATATATATATGTCAATAAAATATATATTAAGCCGAAACCGGTTTGGCTCAATGGATAGAGCGTCGGATACAGCGTCGGCTTGGGGACTGAAGGGACCCGGGTTCGATTCCGGTCAAGGGCATGTACCTTGGTTGCGGGCATATCCCCAGTGGGGGGTGTGCAAGAGGCAGCTGATCGATGATTCTCTCTCATCGATGTTTCTAGCTCTCTATCTCTCTCCCTTCCTCTCTGTACAAAAACAATAAAATATATTTAAAATATATATTATATATATTTTAAAAATTGATGTTCCTCTCTCTCTTCCTCTCAAATATAGATGATAGATAGATGATAGATGATAGATGATAGATGATAGATAGATAGATAGATAGATAGATAGATAGATAGATAGATAGATAGATAGATAGAAAATGGTGTGGCCTCAGTTGGTTGGAGCATTGTCCCATGCACCAGAAGGTCACTGGTTCCATTCCCGGTCAAGGCACATGCCAGGGTTGTGGACTCCATCCCAGTAGGGGGCGTGCAGGAGGCAGCCAATCCATGATGTTTCCCACATGGATATTTCTCCTTCACATAGATCTCTTCCTCTCTCTCTCTCTCTCTCTCTCTCTCTCTCTCTCTCTCTCTCGCGATCTCGCTCTCTCTCTCTCTCCCTCCTCTCCCTCTTCCTCTCCCTCTTCCTCTCCCTTTCTCCTCACTCCCTTCCACTCTCTCTAAAAATCAGTGGAAAAAATATCCTCGGGTGAGGATTGCCAAAACAAAACAAATCCTTAAAGTAACAAAATGTGATTGGATACTATCTGAATGGTCCTTCCAAAATGAATGAATAAAAGCTACCTTAACACTGACGGGGTTGGCTCAGTGGACAGAGTGTCCGCCTGAGGACTCAAGGGTCCTGGGTTTCATTCCGGTCAAGGGCATGAACCCTGGTTGCGGGCACATCCCCAGTAGTGGGTGTGCAGGAGGCAGCTGATGGATATTTCTCTCTCATTGATGTTTCTAATTCTTTTCCCCTCTCCCTTCCTCTCTGTAAAAAGAATCAATAACATATATTTTAAAAAGCTACATTAAATTAACAATATTCATTTTAAACAGACAAGGAAAAACTGACTCCAGACATCCGCGTTTTCTTAAAGAGAAAATAAACGCCAGAGGGAAAAAAAATAAAGTCCTCACACTTACCGTCCACCGACAGTCTGCTCATCATGCCTGAGGAACAAGAAAGACCAAGTGATGTGTGAACGCGACAGAAAGGGCTGTTCCTCATGAATACATTTCCCCCAGATCAACAGATCCACAAGCCTCCTTCTCTGGGCAGTATGGCGATGATGCTTCCGGCGTGCTGTAGGGTTTCCGCAATATTCCCACGTCCCTTTTCCTAGCCCCATAACCCCAAGCATGCATCCTTTGCCTCTAGTCCAATTTAATCTCTCTCTCTCTCTCTCTCTCTCTCTCTCTCTCTCTCTCTCTCTCTCTTTCTCTCTTTCCTTCTTTCTTTCTTTCTTTATTTTAAATTTTTAAAAATATATATTTTATTGATTTTTTACAGAGAGGAAGAGAGATTGATAAAGAGAAACATAGATGAGAGAGAATCATCCATCAGCTGCCTCCTGCACACCTCCTCCTGGGGATGTGCCCGCAACCAAGGTACATGCCCTTGACCGGAATCGAACCAGGGACCTTTCAGTCCGCAGGCCGACACTCTATCCACTGAGCCAAACCAGTTTCGGCTCTCTCTTTCTTTTTAAAAATAATTTTTAAATGATTCCAGAAGGGAAGGGAGAGGGAGAGAGAGATAGAAACATCAATGATGAGAGAGAATTATTGATTGGCTGCCTCCTGCACACCCCATAGGCTTATGCTCTATCCGTTGAGTCAAACCAGCTAGGGCCTGTTTATTTGTTCCTGTTCTTCTCACTGAGTTTGTAAACAGTGAGTATAGCTGATCCATCTTTGGATTTCCACCATCCAAACATGGGTACCCCCTGCTCCCAAGTATGAGTTCAGGTACATATTCATGCTCAGAAATTCTTGCTCAAAGTCTCCCATCAAAGTCCACCGTCCAAGGGCACCGCGAATGTGGCGAGATATTTACCCAGGATTCCTGATAGCAGCCCGTCCAGGAGAGGAGTCCGCATGGAGGTCAAGGTTGCGGGCATGGTACAGAACGGTGGGAGGGGGATCACCCAGGTGAAGCCATAAGTAGGAAAAACCAAAAACAAGATCAGATGCTGGGTGCTGCCAACGGGATGGGAAATAGAATCCACAATGAGTCCGCCTCACTGCCCTCCCCTGCAGGCCTGATCTCCCCCAACAAATCCCTTAAAACTATCCTATATAATAAAAGGCCAACATGCAAATTGTCCCTTCAGGCAGGAGTTTGACCTATGGGAGGGAGCTTGACTGGTCGCTACGATGTGCACTGTGGTTGCCAACTGGCCCGATCCAGCCCCGATAGGCACCCCCAACCTCCCATGACCCATCCCCCCAGCTGGTCTCACCCCTGGTTGCCTCACCCTAATCCCAATCAGGGGCAAAACTGGCTGGCCAACCACCCACGGCCCCTCCTGCCAGTCAGTTCCCCCAATAGTCCCCAATAGAAGAGCATTGTCTTGGGAAGGGAGAGAGGCGGGCGGGGCTCACCTTTCAGCACTGGACACACACCCAGCAGATGGATGGACGGACGGATGGATGGGTGGATGGATGGATGGATGGAGGGGACCGATGGTGGCCGGTGGCGTCATGTTCCCAGCAGAGGGGCAGAGAAAATACGAGATGAGTGAAGTCATCCTATGCCTCAGGGCATCCCCCCCGCCCCAGAGGCCCCGAGATGGGCCGGGGGAACCAGAATGAAGCCGGGCCCCTTGGGAGACACACATATCCCAGGCGTCAGAGCACTCCCAGGATCACGGTGGTACCTTACCCTCCCCCCCCCCCTCCCTTTCACCCCTGACTCCCAGGCAAGTTTTCCTGTTTCTCTCTCTTTCTCGTAAGCTCCATAGGCCCTTCTTTTGCCTTTGTAGCTTGTTCCCTGAAGTCCATGCAATTCCCCTCTCCCCACCCCACCAAGGACCTGCAGATTCTGGGTTTAGATCCCATGTGGGACTGAGAGTTTCTCTCTGCATCTGCCCGGGTTGCCTGTGGTGGTGGGTGGTTTTCTCTCTCTCTCTCTCTCTCTCTCTCTCTCTCTCTCTCTCTCTCTCTCTCTCTCTCTCAAATGTCTTTATTGATTAAGGTATCACATATTTGTCCTCAACCCCCCATTCCAATCCCCCACCCCCCTATTGTCCTTGACCACTGGTTATTGCCTCTCTCTTTTGTCCCGTCCTCCGCTGGGCTGGAGGGCTCCCTATTCGTGTTCAGAGGAGAAGACAGGACTTACATTTGACTGGAGGGAACCACAGAACCAGGAGCCAGAGGAGGATCAACATGGGAAATAAAAGCAACAGAGAGAGTTGGGTTACTACTGATCTGACCCAGCTGGGTGAACCTCCACACGCGTTTGTGATTCCTGCATTTACCCACCTAGCGTTAGGTGGGAGGGGGTTTATGAGAGGCTATTTTTATGTCGTCATCGCCACAGAAACCTCCTAGTGATGCTCCGACCCCAAGGCTAAGCCTGTGGACCAGATCCAGGTCCCTGTTTCCCCAGAATTCCCCGGGGGGGGGGGTCCGTAATCTGTGAAGGAATTGGAAAGGAGCTGGCTCTCGGAATACGAACTTGGGGTTTCCGTGGTTCTTACTTTTTTCTTGGATCGCCACTGGAAGCAGAGGCATTAGCCATCCAGATTCCCAACAGGAGCAGGGAGCAGGGAGCAAGGAGAGAATTTGGAATTAGATTCAAATCACTGCAGGGACCAAGGAGACCAGAGTTGGAAGTGTCATCAGAGGCCAGGAGCCCACCCAGCATTTGTATCAATAAAGCCACGTGGGTTTATCTAATTAGCCATCCATCACTTCTCTATTATTTATCTATCCATCCATCATCTAATCATCCATCCATCCATCCATCCATCCATTCATCTTCTATCCATCTATCCACCATCCATCTACCCATCAGTCATCCATCTATCCAACCATCTATCCACCTATCCACCCATCACCCATCCATTCATCATGTAAAGACCATCTATTCTCCATCTATCATCCATCCATCCATCATCTACTCACCATCCATTCACCCATTCACCATCCATTCATTATCTATCTATCTATCCATCATCCATATACCCATTAATCATCCATCTATCTATCCATCTACCCATCACCCATCCATTCATCATTTATGCATTCCTCTATCTTCCGTCCATCTAACCTCCATCCATCTCTCATCCATCAATCCTCCATTCATTCATCATCCATCCATCCATCCATCCATCACTTCTCTATTATCTAACTATCCATCCATTACCCATCCATCAATCGTCTATTCACCATTCATCCACTCATCCATTCATCATCTATCCATCTATCCAACACCATCTATCCATCACCATCATCCATCTACCCATCAATTACCTATCCATCTGTCCATCCCATCCATCACTTCTCTATTATATATCTATCCATCCATCATCTACTCATCATCCACCCACACATCCACCATCCATTCATCATCTATCCATCTATCCTCCACCATCCATCCATCCATCCATCCATCCACCCATCCATCATCATCCATCCACCATTTATGCATCCATTCCATCCTCTATCCATCTCTCATCCATCCGTCCATCCATCTATTCATCCATCCATTTGTCAATCATCCATCCATTCATCCATCCGTCCATCCACACATCCATCATCATCCATCCACCATTTATGCATTCATCCCATCCTTCATCCATCTCTCATCCATCAATTCATCCACCATCAATCATCCACCTGTCCATCCATCCATCTATCCATCCTCCACCCAATCAACCATCCATCTATCAATCATCCACTCATCATCCACCTGTCATCCAAGCATGGAAGGACTCAGCACCTTCCTGTCCCAGGACCTTTGACCCAGGACCATCTCCCTCACCTCTTTACCTGACTCACCCCTGCTCATCACGCCTCAAACGTAACGTATTCCGAGAGGCCTTCTCTAAATCGCCACATGGGGCTGTGTTTCTCTACGTGACACGGGAATTCCACAGCCTTGGGGCTCTTCTGTCTTTTCATCCACCGCCTCCCTCGCTTCAGCACACGGGACACCCCGGGAGCCCAGAAGACGTGTGTGTGGAGCAAATGACGACATAGGAACGCGGCTCCATTGTGCTGTCCCCAACATGTGGTGTCTTCATGTTGGGAGGGGTTGGGGTCTGACTAGAACTCTGTATCTTAATAACATGAACCTCTGGGCACACACACACACACACACACACACACACACACACACACAAGCTCACTGAGGACACAGCCCAGCCTGCGGACAGGAGGGTCTGTGATGTCCACTGGTCCCTGAGGATGGGGACGCTGTGCGGGCAGCGTGTCCCCGCCAGCCACCACGTCCACGATAAAACCCAGACGCAGACAGGAGTCTGTCTGTCTGCAATGGCGGGGACCCCCACACCCAGCACTCCTCCTCCCCTCCCCCATCTCCTCTGAGGAAAAGGGAGAGGAGAGAAAGATAAATACGACACTCCCTTGTGGAAAATAAGGAACAACATACACTGATGAACCAAAACAGAGCCAGAGGGGAAAAACCATCTTAGAATATCATGGAAGGGATCCTGTAATTTGCAGATTTTTAAAATATTTCCTACATCTTCTGTGATGACATACTGTGTTAGGACAGTTTTGGTTATATTATTATATTTAAATTATTTTTTTTCTTGAAAGATTTTTATTGCATGTAATACTATATTTCAAGTCATTTTCTTGAAACTTTCATGTTTATTGCATGCAACATCATTATTTTAAAAATAGTTTTTCTTTTTTATTTATTAATTTCTTTATTGATTAAGGTATCACATATTTGTCCTCAACTCCCCCATTCCAATATCCCAACCCCCCCCCCACTCATGCCCTCACCCCCTATTGTCCTTGACCACTGGTTAGGCTCATATGTGTGCACACAAGTCCTTTGGTTGGTCTCTCCCTGTTATCCCCACCCTCCCTCTGAGGTCCGACAGTCTGACCTATGGCTCCTTATCTCTGGGTCTGTTCTTGTCCATCAGTCTATGCTGTTCACCATTTCCCCTAGATGAGTGAGGTCATGTCATACTGGAAATATACTTATAAGAATCGAAAATGAGACAAGCCATCGTGGTTATGCCGAAAGGCAGATGAATCAGTCTGTAGAGAGTTTCTTTCTGGGCCTGGATGGTGGGCAAATGTAAAATCGTTTTTCTTGAAACTAAAAAAAAAATAGCCGAGAGACCGGTTTGGCTCAATGGATAGAGCGTCGGCTTGGGGACTGAAGGGTCCCGGGTTCCATTCCGGTCAAGGGCATGTACCTTGGTTGCGGGCATATCCCCAGTAGGGGGTGTGCAAGAGGCAGCTGATCGATGACTCTCTCGTCGATGTTTCTAGCTCTCTATCTCTCTCCCTTCCTCTCTGTACAAAATCAATAAAATATATTTTAAAAAAATAAAAGAAAAGAAAAGAAAGCAGAGGGCGGGGAGACTGTCGGACCCTGAAGCAAGAAGGAGTCTGGTCAGAGGTCGGAGGCCCTGTCTGGGGCCAGCCCGCCCGCCACCGTCCCAAGGGCTGGAGGGAGACCAGGAAGGGGTGGGGGTGCGGGACAGGCCTCACCTTCGCGGGGGATGCAGGCCTCGGCGAGCCCCAGGAGGAGCAGAACCAGCAGGACCATCCTCAGAAGCAGCTCCGGTCTGTGCATGGCGGGGCCGGGGTCAGGTGGACCGTCCCCCTGCCAGGACAGACAGGACTCGGCTCACCCCGCCCTCTCTCCCGACGCCAAGGGCACAGCCAGCTGCCCACACGTGCCCTCTGGCCAGCCCGAAGGCCCTCAGGGACCCGCCTGTGCCCACGCCCCCGGCTGCTCACACAGAACGGCCTCTCCCCGCCCGCAGCTGCCCGTCAGCCTGAGAGCAACCTGTGGGACAAGGTCAAGGTCAGGCCGGGCACGGTGCTGGCCGTCCGGGACCCACTGACCAGATCCTGCCCGTCTCCTGTTTCTGTAGAACCAACGAGCCTAGAGTGTTGGGTTTTTTTTTTACATTAAAAAATAATGGTTTGCCCTGATTGGTGTGGCTCAGTGGATAGAGCATCGGCCTGCAGACTGAAGGGTTCCAGGTTCGATTCCAGTCAAGGGCATGGACCTTGGTTGTGGGCACATCCCCAGTGGGAGGTGTGCAGGAGGCAGCTGATGGATGATTCTCTCTCCTCGATGTTTCTGACTCTCTATCCCTCTCCCTTAAAAAAAAAAAATCGATAAAATATATTTAAAATAAGTAAATAAATGACAATTTCTTTAAAAAAATAAAAACGATTAGTGTGGAAAAAGACATGAAAGTCACTAAGAATAACACTAACATAGCGACCTGTATTAAAAAAACAAACAAACAAAACACCTCCGCCGAAACCGGTGTGGCTCAGTGGATAGAGCGTCGGTCTGCGGACTAAAAGGTCCCAGGTTTGATTCCTGGGACCTTTTAGTCCTGGGTCAGGGGCATGTACATTGGTTGCGGGCACATCCCCAGTAGGGGGCGTGCCAGAGGCAGCTGATAGATGTTTCTCATCGACGTTTCTAGCTCTCTATCTCTCTCCCTTTCTCTCTGGAAAAAATCAATAAAATATATTTAAAAAACAAACAAAAGAAACCTCCAAGCACAGCGACTACATATAAACCGAATCACACTGAACACTGACACCAGCAGCCATGGCCCGCCCAGCTCCTCGCGGGGAAGTTAATGGAGACTCTGTGAGCCTCGCAAGCCCAGGCCGTGCCCGGAGGAGCCCCGAGCTCGGTCCAGGAGGGGAGAACACGCTGTCTGTGCTGCCCCAGGGCTGTTCCCCCAACACAGCAGCCCCCACGCAGGTGCTGCCCCCGAGCAGGTCTGACCTGCCTCCCCCCCCTCCCCGCCCCCTGCTATGCCCCTCTGCCCCGGGCAGGCCTGCTCCCTGCTCCCACTCCCAGCACACGCCATGCCCTGGCCGGGTGCTGGAACCCACCACCCACTTCCTGGGCTCTGCTTGGTCTGGCTCGTCACACGATTCCCCCATGGGCCTCTCGGGGATCCTGGTCCCCCACAGACCCGCGTGGGAGCAAGGGATTGAAAGGATGTGCCCACAACCAATGACTCTCTCTCGTCAGCGATGTTTCTACTAGTATCTCTCTCCCTCTCCCTTCCTCTCTGAAATCAATAAAAAAAAATACATATATATATTTAAAAACATATAGAGGGTTGGCCTGTGGACTGAAGGGTCCCAGGTTTGATTCCGGTCAAGGGCACATGAACAGGTTGCAGGCTCAATCCCCAGTAGGGCACGTGTAGGAAGCAGGCAATCAATGATTCTCATCATTGATGTTTCTCTCACTCTCTCTCTCTCTCTCTCTCTCTCTCTCTCTTGCCTTTCCTTTAGTATATATATATATACACTGAGTGGTCAGATTATTATGCATTCAGAGATCATCGTAATATGGTCACTCATATATCTATAGATTTGCAACATCCCTTCTGAGAATGAGCTAGAAACCCAGATGTCTCCTCAGCACCCGCCCAGGCCCAGAACGAGGTGGGTGCTCAGTGTGTCTACGTGGCCCCAAAGGAGGCCCACAGAGAAGGCCAGGGTGACCGCCTGCCCCTGACTCCATCACCCCGGAGAGCTGGCAGCGAGGGGCCCTGAGGGGCACGTTCCCGGGAGGCCCCCTGCGCCTCGCTGTCTAATGGGATCAGGCTGCCCGGCAGGAAGGCCGGCGTGGGAGGCGGCCAGATCCCCGGCCTGGCCAGGACGGACGTGGGAGTTGGGCGTCTGCACACCAGTGACTCGTCTGGTACCGGAGCGACCCCCGCCCACGTGCCAGGAGCAAGTGGCCCGTGTCCGCCTGTGACTTCTCCTGGGGCGAGGAGGTCAGCCCCAGGGGCATTTCCCGTTGCCCAGCCCGGGGGAGTCAGCAGGAGTGCAGGTTCTCTCTCTCTCTCTCTCTCTCTCTCTCTCTCTCTCTCTCTCTCTCTCTCTCCTCTCTCTCTCTAATATATACATAATTGATTTTTCACAGAGAGGAAGGGAGAGGGATAGAGAGCCAGAAACATCAATGAGAGAGAAACATCGATCAGCTGCCTCCCGCACCCCCCTTAGTGGGGATGTGCCCACAACCAAGGTACATGCCCTTGACCAGAATCGAACCCGGGACCCTTCAGTCCGCTGGACGACGCTCTATCCACTGAGCCACACCGGTTTTGGCAGGAGTGCGGATTCTCGATACGTCACAAGTGTTTGCTCTCCGCTCACATCCCTCTTCCCTGGCCTGGCCAACCCCACCGTTCCCCCGGCCCCTTTCCCTGCCCTCGCTCCTTCCCCTGGTTCCGAACCCCAATACCCTTCGAGGATGATGGCCAGGGCGTGTATCTCCCTCCAGACATGTCTCCAGGGATGTCCGACAGATCTCGCTTGGCCCCCCCTTCAGACCGACTCCCCCTTGTGGGTGTCCCTTCGGGGAACCCCCGGGGCTCCGTGCTTGACATTCTTTGCCTCTGTGTGCAGCAGAGGCACCCATGGCATCGGCCCTTGGCTTTGTCTGAATGTGTCTCTGACGTTTGTGTTTCTCAGGGCACTGCCTAACGCCAGGGAAAGTCATGGCACTGTGGGGTGTCCCCCGCCTGGACTGTGCAACAAGGGTATCTCTCCATAGATTCCCAGATTGCTTTCTTTTTTTATTGATGAGAGAGAGAGAGAGAGAGAGAGAGAGAGAGAGAGAGAGAGAGAGAGAGAGAGAGAAACATTGATGTGAGAGAGCAACATTGATCAACTAGTGGCCCGGTGCACAAAATTCATGCACATTAAAAGGGAATTAAGTAGAGAAAATGTCTTTTTTTTAACATATATTTTATAGATATTTTACAGAGAGGAAGGGAGAGGGATAGAGAGAAACATTGATGAGAGAGAAACACCGATCAGCTACCTCCTGCACACCTCCTACTGGGGATGTGCCCGCAACCCAGGTACATGCCCTTGACCGGAATCGAACCTAGGACCCTTCAATCTGCAGGCCGACGCTCTATACACTGAGCCAAACCAGTTTTGGCTAGTGGAAATATTTTAATATCGATACGTGCCCTTTTTCTATAACAAAAGTGTTAAGAGATGAAAGAAAATTAGGAAAATGTATATGAAAACCTCCCTCCTGTCAGAGTCTGGGGTGTGCAGAGGGACCCAGAATCAAGGCTTCGGCCACCCATGCCCACCTCGAAATTGCTCAAGACCCAGCCCCAGCCAGCCGCACCCTGGGCAAGCCCTGCCTGGGGGTGGGGAGATGGGGCGGGCTGGGCTCAGGTCCCCTGCTGGAGGAGAGGACGACCATCTGTACATTAGCTCTTTATCTTACTGGATTGCCCCCAAATGTGCCCTGCCTGGGGATGGGACCCACAACCTGGGTGTGTGCCCCAACCTGGGGTCCAGCCTGTCACGCTTGGGTACACAGGACCGTGCTCCAACCCACCGAGCCACCCAGGCGGGCGCCAGACTGGCGTGTTTTTGTTATTGTTGTTAATCCTCACCCCAGGACATTTTCATTTTTAAAAAAATATATATTTTATTGATTTTTTGTACAGTGAGGAAGGGAGAGAGATAGAATCATTGATGAGAGAGAGTCATCAATCAGCTGCCTCTTGCACACCCCCTACTGGGGATATGCCTGCAACCAATGTACACGCCCTTGACCGGAATCGAACCCGGGACCTTCCAAGCCGATGCTCTATCCCTTGAGCCAAACTGGTTTCGGCACCCCAGGACATTTTCAAATATATATGTATTTTTATTGACTTTTTACAGAGAGGAAGGGAGAGAGATAGAAAGTTAGAAACATCTTATTTTTTTAAAATATGTTTTTATTGATTTTTTTTACAAAGAGGGAGACAGAGTTAGAACCATTGAGAGAGAATCATCAATCAGCTGCCGCCTGCACACCTCCTACTGAGGATGTGCCCGCAACCAAGGTACATGCCCTTGACCGGAATCAAGGTGGTGGCGCTGGTCATGTCGCCGTGGGTCAGGAGTCATGATCACAGAGGGGTGGGGGGGCGTGAAGCGTGCCATTCTGGAGACAAGAGGCCACATACTCCGCATAACGGACCGTCACCTTCTCGCTGCGGTACCTGGTGAGTCTGAGGGTTTCTCGGAGTTCGCTGGTAATCAGGCCCTCAAAGCCGCCTTTCCTGAGCAGGGAGTCTATTGTCTGGACGTGGTCCCAGCCTTGGCCCTCGGCAACCTCCGGCAGATATGTGGCTGTGCCTTGGACACCCTTCTCGTCCACGAACTCCATGAGAATCCCGTGGACGCCCACCTCCCAGTCCAGGTAATCCCTGGCTTCCTCAAAGTCAGTGAGGAGGGAGACGGAGCAGGAGAGTGTAGGCAGCTCCTGCGGGGTCAGCGGGGGGAACCGGCTGTCCCTGAGGGCGCTGATGAGCGCGTAGCCCCTGAGTCCCGCGTGAAGGCTCAGGGCTGAGAAGGTGCCCATGCAGCCGCGAAGCTGCTGGTCCCGCCCCGCCTTCCAGGTCACAAAGAGCGGGAAGGGGTCGTCGGTGAATCCGGGACGCGGCGGCTGAGGGAAGCCATGGAGGTGACAGTGGAGGACGGCGAAGCAGTAGCAGCCCATCTCCGGGGTCACCACCAGACGCCTGGTGGCGCCGGCGGCTCCACTGGGTCCGGGAAGAGCAC